TAAAAAATCTAACATGAGAAGCCCTTACATTTTACAACAGGTATTCTCGTTTTGTCAATGTCATTTTATGAGGCTAACTGAAATTTTCTGTCAACTTTTATGCTCAAAATCTTGAAAGAATGAGACTTGTTTTCTTTTTTCCTATAATTGATGTGATATTATCATTAATATCCAAAAAGTCAAACTGAGATTGGTCTCCTGTCCCAGTATTTACAGTTTGGGTCTGAAACCCTGCATGGGATCTGCTTCAGATACATGTGGCAAATAAAATGCTGGTTCCTTCCTCCACAATGCAGTGCTTTTTAACACATGATTTCCAAACATGACCACTGTGCTTGAAGCAGTTTATGTTTCCCCTCGTACTGAGAAACTAGTGTGACAGTGTATTGTTATAATCTAAAAAAAGTGACCTTGCCCTCTCCAGGTTAGGTGTATCCTAGAGAGCATAAGCCTTATTGTAGGAACTCTGGCTTGCAGTCTTGGATCAAAAACATTTTTTTTTAATTTAATTTCAAAAGACACTACACTTTAGAGATAGACTAGAATGAAGAGTTCCTTGATGACAACTTTACTTAGAAAGTTACCTTAGGACTCCTGATGGGCAGTCATCAAAATAGAAAAGTATGTGTTCTGTGTTCCACACAGCATCCTTGTATTGTAAAAAAAAAGAGGTAATTCATGATCACGGATAAAAGCAAAGGTTCAAATGAGGATATCTCCGCAGTGAAGGACTTCCAATTACCACTGAGTGATCTCCCCAAAATGTAAAACAGAGAGCGGCTGATGAGTTACAAAAGACCCTCCCAAACAGATAAGTATCCCACTAAATATTAGCCCCAATGCACCACAAAATGACAAGGCGAATCCTGATCAGGAGGGATCAGGAGGTTGGTGACGGGGCTGTGTGCCAGACGAGTCACTGATTTTCAGGTGGTGGTTTCCTCAGCTGTGAAATGAGAGTAATATCTGTTTCTACTTCACACAGTTGTCTGGAGCATTAAATGCCCTAGGATTTTGTAAAGTGCATTGCACAGCAACTGGCAGATATAAGCACCTAACAAACATTTCCTATTATTATTACTGCACTTATTATTAAAACTAGATTGTAGGCTATGAAAATGAACTATGAGTTATGACATATTGAACAGATTTAAAGGTAATTATATAGAGTGTAGACACAGTGGTCTAAAATGCTGTGGCCAAAATCTATAAGCATCTGAGGCTAATGGGAAAGGTATTTAAAAGTAAATAAATAGAATACATTTCATCATCTGTAAAATGAGATTAACAATAGTAACTGTTTAATTTTATTGCTTTAAACACCATATGCAGCACACTGTTGTGAGCTGAATGTTATTTTTCTCCAAAATTATATGATGAAGTCCTAAGTCCCAGTACCTCGTAATGTGAGCTTATTCGGACACAGGGTTTTTACAGGGAGGTAAGAAAATTAAAAATGAGGTTATTAGGGTGGGCCCTAATCCAATATAACAGGTGTCCTGGAGACAGGGAGAGCTGAGCACAGACATGCATTCAGGGAGGGCATCATGCGGAGATGAGGGTAATGATCGTGGGATGCCAAAGACGGCCAGCAACACACCAAGGCTCGAGGAACAGATTCTCCCACGTGGCCTCAGAAGGAACCAACCCTCCCAACACCCTGACCTGGGACTTCTGGCTTCCAGAAATGTGAGACAATAAATCTCCACTGTTCAAGCCATTCGCTGTGGTCCCTTTGTTATGGCAGCCCTCACAAATGAATACACATATTTTCTAAAGTTTTTCTTGTTTTATTTGGGTCTTAGAGCAGGTAATTTGTGAAAAATAAATGTAGGAACTTCCACAGAGAGAAGTACCTTTAAGAATTCCATTACTTCAAAACTGTTGGGCTTAAAAATCTAAAGTGTCAGAACAAGCATAGATTCTGAGATCCACGTTGGTGTTATAATGGCAATTAGGAAATTTTGGGAAATGAGAAAGCTTAGTGATGGCACAACATACTTCCAGACTTCAAAATGTGAAACACTGAATGCCTCCCCAGTTGAAGCTCAATAAATATGATTTTTGGTTTAATATTTAATGGAAATTCAAAGAAAATAAGCATTTCTATATTAATTAAACTTATTAAGCTCATGTTTAATGTATCGAATAACGTGTTGACTCGTACTCAACTTGGTGCCATTTAATATTTAACTTAAGTAAATTTTGTTACTTAAAGCATTTTAATGACTTTTCACATGATATCATAATACAAAGGTTAATACTGTGCTTTTATGTTTTATGTGTCCCACGCTCAGGGTTTTGAAGGATAGCATTTAAAATGTTGAAATGAACTTGAATTCGTATTGATACTGCATGAGGGGAAACTCATAATGCAGATCAACTTATGCTTTCAAGAGCATTCATTAAGAAAAGAGAGTATTGATTAGCATCCTCTATTCGGTGATATAATGCTGCTTTAATATTAACTGCATTTGTGCTGATGTAGATTCAGTTGGTAACCATTTTACTTTTTATACAACATGGAGAGACAGGGACTGAATAACAAGTTTCTTTTACTCCCAATTCTGGAAGCTTTTCACTTAATATGGTTGTTGCCGAAAACAAGAACGAAAACAAAACCACAACTATACCACCCTTGAATATTATTCAGTATTCCAAGAAATGCATTGATGTAGCATCAAGAGGACATTTTTAATGTGAAGGAAGACTAATAACCCAGGCTAACAGGTGAACTCATAGAACACAGAGTAGTCTGTAAGGTATAATTTACCTACAAATGGAAAAAAAAAAAAGGCAGCAGAGTGGAAATAGGGAACAAGGGAAGATGAGTAGCAGGAGAGGGTGACTGAAACCCACTCCCCGTTCACTGTGACTGCAAACCCTGCAGGACAAGCGAGGTGGGTGTGTTGTGTGCAGAGAGGGTCACAGGTCCCATGACCCTGTACTTCTGGGCAGGGGAGTTGGGCCCCTAAGTGCCCCAGTGCTCTGCAGATGCACAAGCATGTAGCTCCTACTTCTGCGGAGTTCTGCTCATTCCCAGGCAGCAAAGGGGGTGCTAAAGGAGTGGGTGGGGTGTCTCAGGGGCCCAACTCCCTCCTAATCACCTCTGGAGGAGCCCATGCAGCTGTGTCAGCCTTCTGGTCTGCTGGATGGGACTGATGAACACTTGTTACTATTATAGGAAGAAAAAGGTGGCTCATGTTTGTGCTTTAAACATTCTTATTTGAAATATCTTTGGGATGTTTGAATGGTAAGCAGACAATTATTAACTGTACACAGATGTGTGTTTTCTTCTGTGATGTTTTACCCCTGCATCCAATCCTACGGAGTGATTTTACAATTCTCAGCACAACAGCATCATCAACTGCACTCTTTCTGGCCAAAGATTTCTCTCCCCAGTGGTAGAAATGTGCTTAGGTATTTTCTTTTTCTCTATTATTTCAATAGTGCTTTAGAATCATGGACTCTCTAAGCTGGAATGAGCTTTAAGGATGATGTAATATCTTCATTTTGTAAATGAGTAAGCTGTGATCCAGAGGAGTTAAGTGCCTCACTAAGGTGCACACATGGTATTATAATAGTACTGTCCCAACTGGAAGAAAGCCTATCATTAATTGAAATCACTGTACTCTCTTGGCAGAATATAAATGAACCGCAAATCACAACTTGCTTTTTTTTTAAGATTTTATTTATTTATATGACAGAGAGATAGAGCCAGAGAGCACAAATGGGGGGAATGGCAGGGGGAGAGGGAAAAGCAGACTCCCTCCTGAGCAGGGAGCCTGATGCGGGGTTCGACCCCAGGACCCTGGGATCATGACCTGAGCCAAAGGCAGACGCTTAACCAACTGAGCCACCCAGGTGCCCTTCACAAGTTGCTTTCTTAATAGAGAAACTGCTGAAGGTACCACTGATAATTGGCTCACAGAATAGTCTTATTTTATTTTTTAAATGACTCAAAGACCTTTAACTTAACTTCCACCAAATCTGTAATTTGGTATTACTAATCCTAAAGACTTAGTTATTACAATAAGTATCATTCCAGGAAAGAAAGGAGTCTTATAAGCAACGATTCCAAAGACAACCACAAGTACCCATAACACTGGGCAAACTATTTTCAGATAATTATCACCTCTGACTCTAAGCACCATGATAGAACTTGCTACAAGCTGGTAAAATTTTGGTTTTACCAGCGAAAGTTTGGTGGTTAACAGCTATTTTCAAACTTTTATGTAAGACTGAAATAAACTATATCATTCACTATTAGAGACCTCTTACTTAATATGAAAGATATGTAGACGTTCTTATAGAACATTGGAAAAAGAAGAAAAGCCTGTTAGTCAATGGTGGGAGTTCCAACATTTCTTTATAGGAAAATCACTCTGCATAAAAATGCTAAGTCCTTTCAACTGTATTACCCTTAATTTTTAAACTGCTCTTGTGCTTTAACAGATATACATGCATTGTCTGCATTGTATTAGCTTTAGAATAGGACTACAAGTTTGATTTACCATTAAATATCGTATCAGTCAGGATTTAAAACATAACTAAATATAATAGTATAATTTTTACCTTATGTCATATTAAACAGAAATTACATAGTATAGTTCCCTCAAATTTACAGTAAAATGCAAAGGCATATATTTAAGGAGGGGAGACACATGTATTGTCCCAAATTGCAGATGGACTTTTTCTGTTATTCTAAATATTGTATGGGAAGCCCAAAGCCCTTTGGGAAAAAAAATCATGAATCAATCTCCAGCTTCGCTGCCTCTAAAACAAAAACCAGTTGTGTTGCATATGATTTGAGAATCTGCAGCTGAATTTTCACACGGAATAATCTTAACTTAGAAAATAGTATTTTTAAGATTTTAGATCGCCATCAGAGGAGGGAATGGTACTGTGATAAAAAAATAATTCTTGGCAGATGAATACAAACACCTGTGTGCTATTGCAACAAGCCCACATTAAACCCTGAACATTGACAAATAACATACCCAGGCGCTCACGCATCTCCCGCAAGTGGTGATTTTGAAATCCCCATAGAGATCTTTGATGGCACCGGTCGTGAAGAAACCTTCCACCATCAGCAGAATGCCATACACAAAGAAGGCAGCCGCGATGCCGTAGATCACGTACTTGAAGATGTCAATCCTGGGGGAGAAGAGACAAAGGGATTTATTTCAATAACTCTTCATGCCTGATTGGCAGCAACTGATTCTCACGTGCTCAGGCTCCTTTGGAATGACAGCCACAGAATATTTATGTCCATAAGGGAGGTTGGACTTAAAAACATTTTTGCTTTAGAGGCCTAATGTTTGTATATATTTTTTGTTCAGCCTCTTCTAGTATTTGTTGACAGGGCTTTGACCTTTGTTTTCCCCTCTTTTCTTCCTGCCTCCTCTTCCCTGGTTCACGCCAAGGTAGTCTTGGGCAAGCACTGAGTCACATTGTGAAAGGCGTCTGCTGAAATTCATTTGTTAAGTAGGATAATCATCATATCATTTCTCCAATTATGACAAAGTATCAAGTATAAAGATTTATATATCTACTACCGAGTTTTGAAAACAAAAGAGGAAGAAAGCATCATGGTAATGATAAATCCATTTTCAATTAAATGACCACCTCATATTTTTCTTATTATAGCCAATTATAATTATGTTTTATTCCACACTTATGGTAAACAGTCACTAATATTTTCTGCTGATATCAATGTCAATAATGGAAAAAATTATGTTTTTAAAGAAAAGTTATAGTTTTGAAAAATCAAGCCTTTAAGGCAGAATCACTAACGGATTCAGAATTTGGCTATGGAACTGGGCCTGAGCCCAGTTTGCGCATAATACCATGGAGGGATGGGAGGGCATTCTCTCCTTTCTCAGGGTTCAGTGCCCATGTATTTAAAGGCAGAGGGCAGGGAGAGACAGCTGTATCGTCTATACATTGCAGACAGATGCTTCTGTTATTCTAGATACTAAATGAGAATCCCAAAGCCCTTTGGAATGAAAAACCGTAAGTTAACAATTTTGCGACTTCAAGAAACAAAGCTACTTGGGGCACCTGGGTGGCTCAGTTGGTTAAGCATCTGCCTTCGGCTCAGGTCATGATCCCAGGGTCCTGGGATCGAGCCCCGTGTCGGCCTCCCTGCTCAGCGGGAAGTCTGCTTCTCCCTCTCCCACTCCCCCTGCTTGTGTTCCCTCTCTCGCTGTGTCTCTGTCAAATAAATAAAATCTTAAAAAAAAAAAAAAAGCAACAAAGCTACTTGTGTAGCCATGGTATGTGGAGAGGTATATATGTTAGCTAACATTCTGCTTTCATACTCTTGAGATCCATTTGTAAGAAAATTGCTCTATATTTCTCACTGTCAAGTTTATTTTTTTTCTCTTTCCTCTCATTATTAGAGTATGAATGGAGTAGATAGGGTGGAGGCCAATGATGGAGATACCCTGTTGACTCTTTATCAGGGGACAAATGAGGGATTAGAAAGCTCGAGCATGCTGATAGAGATTTAGAAACTCTTGATGTTATGACAATATTTTTTAAAAAATACATGTAATAGCATAAGTGAATTTGTTGCATATAAAAAGAGTAAGAAGAGCCTGCTAACATTCACTGTACCAGGGCAATTGTTTAGTGACTGATTTTCACTGTCTGAAAATCTAAATATTGCACAATTTTACTTGTCAAGGGCAATGAGGCAGATGATGTGAACTTGTAAGCTTATTACGCATGTGAAAGAATCTGAGGATTTCAACTTACAGATGGGACTTTGAAGAATTTGATTCAATGGGCTTCTCCATAAAACTTTTAGGTTAAAATGACATGTTTTAAAATATACTTAAATTTTTATTCAGAAGTAATTTCAAATTTATAAAGAAGTTGTGGAAAATGAACAGTATGAAGATAAACTCGACATCCTTGATCTATTTTATAATATTTTACCTCATTTACTTTATTGTTTTCTTGTGTTTCTCTCTGTCTCTGGAGAATTACATCTGAACATAGAAAAATTCTCCACAGTATACTTACTGACTTCAAGGAATCTAATATTGATGTAATACTTGTGTTAAATCTCATTGTATTCCAGTTTTACCAACCGGACTGACCCAGTGATGAACTTTCTGGCATCTTCTCTCCCAGTAAGGGATCCAGTCTAGGGGTAAATACTGCAGTTATTGGCCACCTGTCTTTACTTTCTTTTAACCAGGAACACATCCACAGCCTCTTTGCCTTTATGAAATTGATGCTGTTGAGGAGTAAAATCCCACTCTGTCCTTATTAGATATAACATTCTTCACTTTGAGTTTCTCTGATGTTTCCTCTTGATTAGACTCAGATTACTCATTCATGGCTGGAATACAATAAAGGTGATTTTCTGTGCATCTGCCCCTCAGTAGTGATGCTGATTTGGATCATCTAGACGAGATGATGTCTAATTTCTGTACTGTGCAATTGCTGTTATTTCCCTTGTAGCTAGTAAGTCATCTGTGAAGAGATAAACATCCTGTTCTACATTGAAATTCCCTGCCAGTGTTAGCAGTCATTGATGGATCTTGACTAATCCAATCTTCCTACTGCATTAACAAAATGCTCATTTTCTAACTGTAGTACTCATTCACATTTACCAGTTGGTACTAGATATTCTGACATAAGCAAGAGCCCTCCCTTTTCCCCTTTTTATTAATTTTTTGTTTATTTGTCTATTTATTAATTATATGAACTAAGGATGTCTGCTTTTTTCTCTGAAGTTTATAAGCCACTACTCTTCTTAATTATTTTGGTGCTTAAGTTTTTCTAGACTTGGCCAGTGGGCATTCCCAAAGCCGACTCCTATATCCTTGTGACGTGTGACCATCATTTTTTGTAAAGTATTCCTTTCTTTCTCACACAGCAAGAGGACCGAGGCTCTCTTTGTACATACCTCCCTCAACCCCCAAATTAGGCATCTCTTTGCCAAGCCCTGGTTCTTTTTTTTTAATGTGTCTATATTTATTTTTTAATTTAAATTCAATTAATTAACATATAATGTATTATTTGTTTCAGGGGTACAGGTCTGTGATTCATCAGTCTTATACCCCGTGTTCATTACAACACATACCCTCCCCAGTGTCCATCACCAGCCACCCCATCCCTCTACCCCACGTCCCCTCCAGCAACCCTCAGTTTGTTTCCTATGATTAAGAGTCTCTTGCGGTTTGCCTCCCTCTCTGGTTTCATCTTTTCATCTTATTTCATTTTTTCCTCTCTTCCCCTATGATCCTCTGTTTTGTTTCTTAAATTCCACATATCAGTAAAATCATATGATAATTGTCTTTCTCTGATTGACTTATTTCGCTTAGGATAATACCCTCTAGTTCTATCCACATCGTTGCAAATGGCAAGATTTCATTCTTTTGATGGCTGCGTAATAATTCCACTGTAAATATATGCCACATTTTCTTTATCCATTCATCTGTCGATGGACATCTGAAGCCCTGGTTCTTTTAATGAGCAGTAGTATTGGAGACCAAGACGTGGGGACTCGTTGCTGCTGTGATATCTTTGCCTCTTGGTCTTTTCAGGGTACCAAGTTAGAGAATACATGCATGTACACACACACATTCATATATACAATGACATAAACACGTACATTCAGGTATCTATGTATATATGCGCATACATGTACCGGTGCGCATATATTTGCATATCAGACACACACGTATTTTAGAACTCTCGAGTTCATAGTGATATTTCCAAATCTAATCGATTCCCACAGGGGTTTTTTTGTGGCCTTCCCCCACTCTGTATTTGTATGACCTTCTTCCTTAGTGAGAATCCTAATTCCCAAGAATAACACATATATTCTTTTGTTTGATTCATAATAAATCTAAAACTATTTCAGTATTATTTCATCCAAAGTATTACAAAAATCAAACCTATCTGAAAAGAATGCAGAATGTTTGCAAATCCCCTAACCCTCCACCCAAGACTAAGAGTATATAGTCAAACACTGAGTTTCTAAATTACTTGGATTAGTTCATTCTTTTTTCTTCCTTTCATCGGGCTTACAGCATTCATTTGAAATGCAGCGGGGATCTATTTGTTTCAGTTTGTTTCAGTTTTAGCTCCTCCATCCCAACAATATTGACTTAATTTCATTTCTGAACATATAGAATATCATTAACATGCTTCCAAGAGTCAAATCTGTATAAAAAAGATACCCCCAGAGAAGGGTCATGACCTCCCCTATCCCTTCCGACCTATTCCTTGTTCATTGCTCCCTTGCATCCTTCTTGTGTTTTTTTATGTAAAGGCAAGCATGTGTATATGTGTGTGTACATATTCCTGTTTTCCTTTTGCTTTTACATAGAAGGCGGCCTATACACATGCTCTTTTGCACTTAGCTTTTATTGATCAGTAATATCCTTAAAATCACTCCATATCAGTTCAGAGATCTTCCTTATTTTCTTCGACAGCTGCATGGTAGTCCTAGTGTATATATGTATTTATTTACCCCATATTCTATGCTTAAATATTTAGATAGATAATCAATATTTTGCAATTACAAATAATACTGCAATGAATAATCTTGCACAAATGTATCAGAATAATTGATAGTGTATATTTAGGGTAGGAGGATGGATGAGTTGAAAAGCAAAAGCACGCAGCTTTGTTAGAAACTGCCAAATTCCTCTCTGTAAAGGTTGTACCATTTCTGCATCCCCAACAGGGATGTATGAGACTCCTTCTCTACAGCCTCAACAAAAGACTATATTGTCAAGCTTTTGAATTATTGCTAACTGATGGGTGATAACTGGTATCGTAGTTTTGCTCTATTTATCTTAGTAAGAGTGAAATGGAACATCTTTTTATAGAATCATAGGCAACATTTGTCTTTTTGTGAATTGTCATATCTTTTGCACACTTATCTGTAAGATTTGTATATTGGGAATATTTGGTTTTTACCTATAACACATGTTGCTAATATTTTCTCCTAGTGTACCATCTGTCTTTTGACTTTGCTTATGGCATTTTGCCATGACACTTAAAAAAACAAAAACTTCGATGTTGTCTAAGTTATCTGTCTTCTCTTTTGTTACACTGGGATTTTGGTAATAGTTATAAGCCTTTATTTATACCCAGGTTATACAGGAATTATGTTTTCTTCTAGCATG